ACCAAAAAAAACCCAGAAAACAAAAACCAAAAAACACTCGTGAGCACAAAACACCTTGGAAACCAGGGAACACAAATTGGTCTCAGCTAGATTTTCTTATATCCTGCTGGTGACCTAGGCATATTCTTCCTATGAGGTCAGCCCCAAACACTGTGGCTTTCATGGGTCTCAGTGAGACCAGGGAAAAATGGTCATTTGTTACTGTTAGCAATAAACAGTGGTGATAACCTGTAATCTGTGGTTACACGTCAATGCAGTAAATCACTTCTTTTCAGTGCTTTGACCATTGTGCACTGTAGATATTTTAGCAAAAGATCTAGTGCTGACCTAGAATTAACCCTCCCAGCACAATTGACTTTCTTTAGGTGCAGACTTACCTGGAAAGTCCTTCATCTTTAAGTAGAAGCTGACCAAAGAATGGTGTGATATCAATAATGGTTTCCTCTTTCCAGAAGTACCTTCTGTTGCCTGGGCAAGAAAAGTCAGCAAACACATAGAAGTTCTTCCACCATTACTGTGTGTCAATAGAGTATCAAGGTTGGGAGCTTGGAGTTAAGTGGACATTATGGGGCATTTTTTCACCACTAACCAACTTTTGGTGTGTGTGTGTGTGTGTGTGTGTGTGTCTCTCTCTCTCTCTCTCTCTCTCTCTCTCTCTCTCTCTCTCTCATCATTAGTATGGAATGTAGAAGGGTTTTCCTTTTCTCTAAAGTCATTGAGGAAATCTTCTGACATCTACCTTCCTTTCCATATGAACCTCCATGAGAGTTCAGAAAACCTGGGTATCCTGCCATAATACCCAAAACAGGTCTCCATATCTCTGGTCTCAGTTTTTTCAACTGCAAAATGATTTTAAACATACCTTCTAACTGTGAAAGTCTGTGAATCTGTAAAAACAAATTATTAAAATCAGCTCCTTATTTGTGGCATACATATAAAGGTATAGAGTTATCTAGAATTATCCCTTGAATCTAGAAGATTAAGAGGATGATTAGGCACAATCAGAGCTTCAGGAACCACTTGTGGGGTCCTTGTGCTTAAGCCCTCCCTCCCAATATATTGTCTGCCTTTTCTATACAAAGAAAATTCTTCTCTTTTTCTTTCTTTCTTCTTTTTTTAAAAAATTTGTACCAGGGATTGAACCCAGGTGCATTCAACCACTGAGCCACATTCTCAGCCCTTTTTAAAATTTATTTTGAGACAGGTTCTTGCTAAGTTGCTTAGGGCTTTCCTAAGTTGCTGAGGGTGGCTTTGAAGTTGCAATCCTCTTGCTTCAGCCTCCCAAGACAATAGGATAACAGTCATATGCCAGTGTCCCCAGCTATACAAAGAACATTCTGAAGGGCCAGTCATTTTTGTCCTCTCTCCACCCTTTCTCACCCCTACCAACCATCAGGCATGAGTGATGCCCTTACATGGTCCTATTCTTCAATAGCATCAAAGCCTGTAGCATTGTCTTCTATTAAAATATTTTTTGTAAGAGGGCATATTATAATATTAGGCTTTTATATTTCTATAGCTTTCAAAATATATCCCTTAGTGAATATACTAAAGGAGGTGTTTGTGTGTGTGTGTGTGTGTGTGTGTGTGTGTGTAGATTTCAAATGGAGATTTATAGCTTGAGGAAAAAGGATAGTTTCACACATTGTGTCTGCTGGTTGTTTATAGAGGCTTCCAGAAACTGCTAATCATTACTATGTATAAAATTTCATTAAAAAATCACCACATTAGCCTGGTACAGTGACACATGCTGTAATACCAGCTTACTCATGAGGTGAAGGCAGGAGGATCGAAAGTTTGAGGCCAGCCTAAGCAACTTAGGAAGACCTTTATTTCAAAGGAAAAAAATAAAAAGGGCTTGGGTTGTAGCTCAGTGGTAGCACTCCCCTGGGTTCAATCCCCAAGAACCCCTGCTCCCCCCCAAACCCCCCACAACTGCATGTATTCTTTGAGACGCTCATTTTAAGCAGGAAGTGTATGTCCATGTGGCATTTGAATTCTCTTTGTCAACTTTCCCACCTCATTTCAGGTCATCCATAGCATGAGCTATGTATACCCTAAATAGAAGTCTTTTAAAAGTTGTTCCATGAAAGCAAAATTCTGTTTGATATGTTTGTTTTGGGTAATGTGGTCTTCAGCCTTCTGTGACGGATTGTTCTTATGTTGAACCACATCCAGTTTTAGCAGAGCACACTGCATAGTATTTCTCTCATGTGTCATCTTCTGCTCCTGTTATTTCATAGCAATTGCCTTGCTCCCCTCTGGAGCTATTTATACTCCAAATTTTCTGTTCTGTGTGCTACCCATTCACCTGTGCAGAGATAAGAGTAGACCCAATAAAATGAAACTCACACAATTTTGCTGTTTGTTTCCATCACATGGGTACATTAGATTCATAAAAAAAAAAAAGTGAGCCTAAAAGTTCTCACTTGTTAGTTCTTATATCCTTCGATCTAAAGCAAACTATTTACAATGATTAAAGCAGAGTGACCAAAAAAATTTAAAAAACTTCAAACTACCTATAGCTACCTTTAGTATATAAAGAAACATGTTAGCAATATTGGTATTTGAAAGAAATCCATTCCTCTCCTCCAATAATAGAACTGGTATGCTGTATTCTGAATGTTCTCCTGACCTGCCCTTAAAAATGTGCCCTCTGAGGAAGTTAAGCACACAGAAGAGAGGATGAAAAGCTTTAGTCTTTTGTCCCTCCCATGCAGTCCCTATTCGGCTTTCCCCTCCTTAGATTCTCCTGCTTCTTTTCCTCTACTTGACTCCTTCTCACATCAGTCTCCAAAGTTCTGTTTTTTTTTTTTAAAGAGAGAGTGAGAGAGGAGAGAGAGAGAGAGAGAGAGAGAGAGAGAGAGAGAGAGAGAGAGAATTTTTAATATTTACTTTTTTTTAGTTTTCGGTAGACACAACATCTTTTGTTTGTATGTGGTGCTGAGGATGGAACCTGGGCCGCACGCATGCCAGGCGAGCGCGCTACCACTTGAGCCACATCCCCAGCCCCAAAGTTCTGTTCTTATCTGCCAGTTTAAACAATCTTAGATTCAATGAAAAGAGGTCACTTTTTTTTTTTTTATCTTCAGAGTATAGTTGTGTACTGTATAATGATGTTTGGTCAATGATGGACAGCATATGTGACAGTGGCCCAATAAGATTATACCATCTAGTGATGTTGTAGTCATCTTAATTTGTGTAAGAACACTGTATGATGTTCACATAGCAAGGAAATCACCTAATGGGGCTTTTGTTCAGAATATATTACTGTCAGCTGGGCGCAGTGCGGAACACCTGTTATCCCAGTGGCTCTGGAGGCTGCAGCAGGAGGATCAGAAGTTCAAAGCCAGCCTCAGCGATTTAGCAAGGCCCTAAGCAACTTAGTGAGACCCTGTCTCTAAATGAAAAAATAAAAAGGGCTTGGGATATGGTTCAGTGGTTAAGTGCTCCTGGGTTCAATCCCTAGCACACATACAAAATAATATATCCCTGTCATTAAGCAGCACATGACTGTATTTTAAAACAAAAGTGGCTGGGTGTACCTCAGTGTCAGAGCACTTTTCTCACATGTGCAAGGCCCTTGGTTCCACCCCCAGCATGCCCCCCCCACCAAAAAAAAAAAGAAAACAAAAAGAAGAGGGCTTTTCCTTCCATAGGATGGGTGCTAATCCAATAGATTTTAGGGAAACTGGTGGTCTGTGAGGACATAGAGTTTTGGGGTTCAGACCACAGCACCACTAAGAGCACAGAGTTTCACTCATGGGGGTAAAAAACAGAAAAATACCTCCTGCTTCTGCCACCAGGTCATGATCCCAGGAAAACTCTAGAATTTTTTATTTTCCTTTCTCAAAAGAGAAAAATGTGTACTACTACATAAGTATTAACCATTGTTTTTGGTTTTATTCTTAGTATTTAATTAGAAGTGGCCACAAGTAACTGGTAAAATACATGATATAGTCCTAAATTTGCATTTCTTCATTATTGGGAAAGCTGTTTACACTAGAATGACCTGTGTTTTTCTGAAGTTGCTTTTATAATTGTCGTGCCCCTTCCCCTTAGATGTCTGAGAGATGTACTTAATTATTATTGATTCTTTGTCTCAAAGGACTGAGAATTCTGACCAGTGCTTATGTGTTTAGGGGGTGTAAAATAGCAATGTGTTGCATTTCCACTTTGGCTAATAAATTGGCTTTGGAAAGAAGCATCTTTTAATGCACCTGGGACTAAAGCTTGTGATTTGCTGATGTTGGACAAGGTTGAAGTTTCACTTTTGCAAAAATTTTGTCTTTTAGCATATGATTAAATATTACCTCAGATCAAAGTACCCCCAAACTTACCTTGGAAGTTCTTGGAGGACTTGAAAAGTACATTGTAAAATACAGTTTGAAGGTGAAAGGAGAAATAAATGTGCCTTAGGCCTGGAAACTGGATATAATGTGCAGTTCCTTTCTTTTGCTTATAGAAAGTGTTAGTGGAGTTGATTATTTTTTTAGTTAATGTTAAGGGAGCAGGGAGATGCTGAGATGACTACTATTTCAAGGAGAGAAATGCTTAATGACTATAAATGTATAGCTAGAAATAGAGTTTACACAACCTTAGCCATACAGATTAATCTAACTAACCTCCTCTAATACTATCACAAGAAAGTGTTGTTAGGATCTCTTTGAAAATCTCTAGTAGAACATTGTTTTGCTTATTCAGGTGGAAATGGCTCTGTTGTCACATAGAAAAGGCTGGGTCTCCTTGGCTCTCAAATAACCCCCTATAGTGCAGGGAAGGGAACTGTCTCTTTGCCCACATCTTCACCCAAGGCCAGTGAGAGTTGAGAACAACCTCAGATTCTGAATGATGAAACTAGAACACCTTTGAAGACTGCAGAGTTCAGGTCTGGTGTTTACTACAGGGTACCATCTTGACTAGKATTCTCAAGGGAAAAGAAAGGACTGTAAAAGGAATGTTTCATGCTTTGAATCATCTGTGATTTTATGTTTTTACAGTGGATCTCTTGAGCTTGTCAGCTGCATGTGATGCTTTGGACCAGCACAACCTCAAGCAAAATGACCAGCCCATGGATATCCTGCAGATCATTAATTGTTTGACCACCATTTATGATCGCCTGGAGCAAGAGCACAACAACTTGGTCAATGTCCCTCTCTGTGTGGATATGTGTCTCAACTGGCTACTGAATGTTTATGATACGTATGTATGGCAAGTATTTTGGGGGGCATTGTCACAGGAGAACTAGCTTACACAGTGGTGATGGTGTAATTAGTATTACAATAAGGTCTCTGTGATAATTATTTCTGCCTTTTTATGACTGGAAAAAAATATTTTGATAAGCTAGGAAGTAAGAGCTAGAATGTAGATAGCTCTCAGATTAGAAAGCAAATAAAACCATGAGATACTCATGTTTGAAACAGTAGAATGAGTCACTGTGTATCCACTGGTTCTCTCCCTTTCTCACCAATGTCTTCTGGAATCCTCCATCCACTTTGGGGTTGGTCCCTCTCACTGACAGGAATGATTATGTTCCTGGAGATGCTGGTATACCTGTCACCAGATCAGAATTTTCTCAGCTAACATTTTGCAGATTATGAATTGAGAAGCCAAACACAATGAAAAATAAACCCTTAATGCTGCAACCTCACCCCCTCAAACTGAGGGAGATTTTGTTTTCTATTAAGTTTTTACAAAGTCTCAGCTAGGGACCCCCATTCTTCACTCTTTCTCAGAGAGCAGTTATTTCTTTTGGATTGTCTGCAGGAGATATCTCCAGTGTTAATTTTTGTCTTTGGTTCAATGAAGACAATTGAGGAAGGAAACAGAAGAAATTCAATTCCATTGAATTCTTCTTCAACCTCAAAATTATAACATGTCTTCTCATTTCACACATCAACCAGAACATTATTCCTACTTGAAAATCTGGGAAGGTTTTATTGAAAGGAGATGCACATCAACCATTCTGCCTTTTGCTTTTTTTTGGAGACTTCTACCACTTCCTTCATTAAGATTTATACTCTTTTCTTTGTTATTTTGATAAGGTGTGACTTTTTAAATTTCAGGGCCATCTAGTTATTTGGTTCATAATTATCTACTAAATCTTTGAACATGTTGGATTTTAATTGTGGATTACATTTACATTTATTTTTAGGAGGGTTTGTACTAAGATCTTTCTGCAGATATATTTTGGCACCCTTTTCTTGGCAGATGACATGTGAATGGATTTTAAATATATGACTTTTATTCTACCTTCATGAAAATTATTTGGGGATAATTTTAACTCTTTGAAGACCTGAGTTACTTTATTTATTTGTTAAACTTTGATTTGCCTGTACTTATGATAGAAAAATATTTAAAAAATAAACTTCCAGTGATAGGAATTTTGTTAATGATTAGGGTCCAGTATATCTCTTTACCAAGGGATTTAATAAGTTGTACTTGTTGAAAATAGAATATATTGGCCACCAAAAATATCAATATCTGAGGCACAGTAGCTTTTCATAATCAAATAGGAAGCTGAAAAATTATTGAACGAGGGGCTAGGGATATAGCTCAGTTGGTAGAGTGCCAAGGCTGATCTCGAATTTTTGATCCTCTTTCTCAGTCTCCTTAGTGGGTGGGATTATAGACATGGGCCACTGTGCCCAGCTGTATTTCAGCCTCTTTATATAAAAGGAAAGCTCTTATAGAGTCCATATTTGAATGCTATCTAATAGAATGTATCATATTTATAGATATTATTATTTGGGGATAAACATTCATAATTTAGTGTCATGTGGCCTGGAGTGATTAATATACTTAATAAGGAGTAATTTGATGAAAATTTGAGAGTGTTGAAGAGAGCAGAGAAGTTATTTGCTGGTAATTTTTTGTCTTTAGTAACCAAAGTAGGTAATTTGCTTCAGTAACCAACATAGTTTAATGCGTAGTTGTAATTCTTCCACTTAATCCAAAGTAGGCTCTTCAGAGGTGTAGATTTATATATTTTCCCCTATTTAATGCAGAGCTACTCTAATAATTCAAATAAAGCTTTAGGAATTAAAAACTTGGTAAATAATTTAGTTCAGAAAATTTCCATTGAATTTTGGATCATGAGCAAATAGATGATGAACTCAAGAAAAGTTCTTAATTTTTTTTCTTAATTTAAAAAATATTTTTTAGTTGTAGATGGACACAATACCTTTATTTTGTTTATTTATTTTATGTGGTTCTGGGGTTCAAACCCAGGGCCTCACACATGCTAGGCAAGTGCTCTACCACTGAGCCACAACCCCAGCCCTTGATTTGTTTTTTAAAAATCTTAATAGACCAATGGTCAGTAGAGTTTCCATATCCAGGACATTTTTTTAAAATTAGAACTCTTTACCCTCTAGTAAAATATCAGTAATTGTTTTCTGGTTTGATTCTTCATAATAGGGGACGAACCGGGAGGATCCGGGTCCTGTCTTTTAAAACTGGCATCATTTCTCTGTGTAAAGCACATTTGGAAGACAAGTACAGATGTAAGTCATGTATATTAACTCTGTATTCTTTTATTGATGTTGGCTAATTACCCTAGTTCTAGATGGAAAATGACATACTGTTTTTATTTGACAGCAGGTTCCTCATGTAAGATGTAGAACTGCTTTTAGAGTGTCATAAAATTTGGTTTGTGCCATTCCCTGTCAAACATTAAATTGCAGGTATTTAAATAGAGAACGAGGATTAGCTTCTCCAGACCGAGTATTATTTTACATTATATTGACTGTGCCTGAATGAAACACGTGTTTGTAGGGGATAAAGTCTGATTTCCTAACCCTTTTTATAAGTCAGAAAAATAAATGTGAAAGTTTAATCCCTGCACTCGCCTCATCTTTGGATTCTTATTTAAAGAATACTATCTGGCATTCAAGCTCAAGAAACATTGTTTATTTTATAATCATCTTACTGCAAGTTGTACTGACACATCCAATTCAGTGATGTGACTAAATTTTATTGTTCCAGAGACAGATAGCTTGCCATTTCTTAAAGAGTAAATACCACCCTACAGAATTTTATTTTGATTAGCCATTGGGTTCTTTTGCTTTGAAAAGTGTAAATCTAAATTAAAAGCAAATGCTAGAGGAGTGATGGTTTAATGACCAAGTGACCACCCATTCCTATTGTAAAGGATTGTACTTATTTTTCTCCTTTAAATACTTGTAAGAAGTCTTTTCAAGAGGAACATTAAACAGTCTATCTTGTCTTCTGCCTTTTTCCCTAAGGCCTAGCACATGTGGATGAGATGTGCTGAGCTTAAGAACAGGCAAGAGACAAAAGAGACTGAATCCTTCCATAGCCACTCTGTGTCCTTGTACTCATTTCTCATCAAAATACACAAACTGTTTCCAATTCCACTTTTATGTAGTTTCTACTTGGGTTTTCTCATCCTAAGACCCAAAATAAATAAATAAGTAAATGAAAATATCTAAACAACTTTTCTTAACCCTTTATGGATTATTTTGGATAAAACATTGTTTCCTTGTGCTTGCTGCCTTTAAATATTGTAGCTACTTATTGTAAGGTTTTTTGGTTTTGTTGAGTTGGAGGTCTTAATGTTTTACCCAAGCTAGCCTTGAACTCCTCGGCTCAAATGAACTTCGTCTCTCAGCCTCCCCAGTAACTGGGAGGGCATATGCCACCATGTCTAGCTATGTTAGTTTATATTCTGATTTTACCCATGGCATGGTACCAGTGCATTATTCATTCTAAATTTTAATTGTCAAAGGAGCTTTGATCTTCTGTTTCCTATAACTACTAACAGAGAACATTTTGAAATAAGTGGAAAAAATATTAATCTTCGAAGTAAGATATTTGAAAATAATTTTTCATTTTGCAGAAAAATGTATGTGTTTTAGAGAGATGCTAAAAAGCTGTGCATGTTGTTTCCATTTTATTATTGCCACTTTAGCTGTCTTGTTAAAATATTTAATTCCATAGAGTGTGCTTATGGGTACAAAAAACTTTTTAGGTTTTTTAAAAATTGGCATCTTCTATGTGAATATAAAGTATGATTTAAATAATTTTGTTTATGCAAACAAAACATACATTATTAGTCTTTGATATGTTCATCCATATTTTTAGCCACGTGCATTGGGCATCAGCTTCAATCTGATATTCTTGTTCTGTTCTAGAAGCTTCTGGCACACAGTTGACTAAGATATGTTCCTTGCCTTCAAGGGAACATCAATTTTTAATAAAAAAGAAATAACATTAAATCATTGACAGTAGAGCAGGATATGAGTTAACTATAAATAGGCACAGGGTTCCACTACATACATGATGGAATAGAAGCTCAATGATCTTTTAACTCCATAAAGAAGTCCCAATTTTTCTACATTTTTGAATTTCTGATGCTTAAAGGAGATGATGATGCTTTGGACTAGAGGTTGATTCAGGGCCTTATGCACGCTAGGCAAACACTCTATAACTTAAGCTGTATCCCCAGCCTTTTCTTATTTTATTTTGAGACAGACCAGATTGCCCAGGCTGACTTTGAATTTGCAATCCTCCTGCGTACCTGGGATTACAGGCATGTGCCACTGTGCATGGTCATATGGTTCTTAAAGCTAAAAACTTTATTATAGTTGTTACGTCCTTTTTATGTACATATAATAGTACCCAAAAGATTGTGTTTTGCCTTAGGAACAATTCAGGCATTAAGATCACATTTAAACTTAAAATTCCTTGCAGGGTTATAGTTGATTTAAAAGTTGTCATCCTTCACATACACATAGTGATGATTAACTTCATCTATAAAAATATGTCTAGATTAGCATAAATTAGAAGTAAGCCCTCTCTGTGGGAATATTGACTACTCTTGAGAGTTGGCACTGAAATTGAGTTGGACATTAGGTTTCATTGTTGCAATTCTCTTCTTCTTTTATAGACCTTTTCAAGCAAGTGGCAAGTTCAACAGGATTTTGTGACCAGCGCAGGCTGGGCCTCCTTCTACATGATTCTATCCAAATCCCAAGACAGCTGGGTGAAGTTGCATCCTTTGGGGGCAGTAACATTGAACCAAGCGTCAGAAGCTGCTTTCAATTTGTAAGTTATTCGCCTTCTTAAGTAACGTATTTATTCTTTTGTTATTTTAGAAGTCAATTTTTAAAATGTCACCAAATTTCAATTTCTCACATTGGCTTTTTTGAAGGCAGTAGGTACAGGTTTGGGGATTTTTGAAACTTTGGTAGGAAGTGGCTTCTGGGACTCTGGGTTTGGGGCATGAATACAGTTCAGAGGAAGGAAAAGAAATTGCCATTTGCAGCAGGGTTACCACTGTTACTAAGTTGCTGGGAGAAAAGGGAGTCTTCAGTGTTTCAGTGAGCATAGAAAAAAATCTCTGGCCATAGAAAGCCTTTCAAAATAAGAAAATAGCCTTTGTAGGTGAGTCTTTTAGTGTCTCAGTTTTTCCTTCAATTCTGTCATAATAGCCTCCTTTTCAATGGCTGTTGGGAAGGAATTAACACAGTTAGCATTTTTTCAAGAAAATCACTTTGTAACTTTGAGGCTCCCTTCTGTTTCAAGATCTTTATGGTGGCTCCCTATAGTTTTTTTTTTTTTTTTTCCTAAGTGGAGGTGGTGTCATTGCTGGGCATGACACCCAAAGCCTTCTACCCTATAGTCTTTTTCTTTTCTTTTTTTTTTTTTTTTTTTTTTTTTGGTATGTACCAGGGGTCAACCCAGGAACACTTAACCACTGAGCCCCATCCCCAGCATTTTTTTAATGTTTTGAGACAGGTTCTTACTAAATTGCTGAGGCTGGCCTTGAACTCACGCTCATCCTGCCTCAGCCTCCTGAGCCACTGGGATTACAGGCATGCACCGCTATGCCAGGTGTTGTAGTTTTATAACTATGATCTGAGCTTTGTATTCTTTGCCAACATCTGTCACTGGTTCAACACACTACCACTTTTGTCCACATTGTGTCTTATCCTGTCCCATTGCCTTTTCTCTGTCCTGCCTTTTCTACTCCATAATTTGCATCCCAGAAACACCTCCTCCTTCCCATCTGAGTGTCCCTCTAATTCAGATTGTTTTTGGTTTTAGTAAGGAGGGTAGGTAGGTAGGTATGGTGAACATCTTTGTGCATTTAGCTCTCTTCTTTGGAGTTTTTCCCTTAGGATGCATTTTCCAAGAGTTTGATTACCAGACTAAAAGAAAAAAATATTTTTGTGGCTTTTGATATTCATCACCAGATGGCTTTTCTTCAAAAGTTGTTTCTAATTGTTATGCCACCAAAATTAAAGGAGTAAGGTATTTGCAGGACCACATTATTCACAGTATTCAGATGTTATTGTTTCGATGCAAGGAGCTGCTTTTCATATATGCAGTCTCAGTCCATTCTCATTCCAATGACAATGGCTAAGATTTACAAAATGGAACCAACTGTAAGAGCTAAATGGGTTAGACTTCAAGTCTTTCACTGTAGAATGGGATGAAAGTATAGGTAATTCTCTGGGCAGAACCCTGTGATTTTTAAATTTTTTATATTTTTGGAACTTGGGATTGGACCTAGGAGCACTTAACACTGAGCCATATTCCTGGCTCCCCCCCCCCATTTTTTTGGGGGGGATTTTGCTAAGTTGCTTAAGGCCTCACTAAGTTCCTGAGGCTGACCTTGAACTTGGTGATTCTCTTGTCTCAGCCTACTGAGTTACTGGAATTACAGGCATATGCCACCATGTTCAGCTGGTCCTGTGAATATTTAGATGTTTAGAGCAGTTTGAGTATTTATTTAATAGTTAATTGGGCAAATGGAATGCACACAAAGTAAACCCACTTAAGTAGAATAGGATATATTCTTTGGAATCTTACCAAAATGATGGCAAATTAACTATAAAAGAAAAAGAGATGTGCAAAAATAAATGCACATATCACCTCATACCCAACCTTACCCAAATGTGAATGGACTATCACTATCTAGATTTGTTTTTACCTGTTGCTCTGTTAATATTTTGACTCCAGAATCTAGACAGAAGTAATTTTCATATGATGAATATTAATGGCTTCAGTAATATATATTCATTTTTTAAAAATCCATTTGTACTACAACTTGCACTGATGTGTTTCCCCTAATTTTTGTTTTCTCTTTAGTCAAATTTAAGGTTTTTTTTGAGTCCTAGTTGTGAAACACACACACAATGTTCATATGTACATATATGTACATATGTGTGTGTATTTTGTCTTGGCTTAAGGATGAGTATCACAACATAAAAGGTTGCCAACTCTCTCTGTTCAGTGATAGTCCCTACTATAGAGAAAACTAGGCTTATTATTAAGGGCCTGCTGGGAGCCTTTGTGTCACATCACCCCACTGTACTGACTCATCAAGCAGCCACTGTCACTGCAGCCTCTGTCCTTAGATTTGGTTGTCAGATAAGGGGCTGCTAGACTGAAGTTCTGCTTTCCCTGTGTTGCCCCTCTTAAGAAGAGACCGTCTCTTTTACCTCTACTGCCTACCTGGGCTGGATGCCTCCCTTCTTCCCTCCCTCCATATCTCTTGTTTGATTATTCCCCTGTCTCTGTAATAGCAACTCACTTCTCTGTGTCAGGACTTAGGACTGAATCTGTCTTTGCGTGTTTACTGAATGCCTCCTGTCTAACCAGTCTGCAAACTCTTGGAAGCATGTTTTGTAAGACTGGAGAGAAATCAGTCAAGAGATGAACAGCAAGAACAGGTGGCTTTTCCTTTTCTCTCTACTATTTTGTATTTTCTGAACTTTTCTTTTTAGAACATTTATAATTAGAAAAAAATTTAGGAAAGTGCTACCTTTTGAAATTATTTTATTTCTATTATTTTTAGTACTAGAGATTGAATCCAGAGACACTTTACTGCCAAGTTACATACCCAGCCCTTTTTATTTTTTCTTTTGAGACAGGGCCTTACTAAGTTTCTGAGGGCCTTACTAAGTTGTTGATGTTGACTTTTAAGTTGTGATCCTCCTGCCTCAGCCTCCCCAGTAAGTGGGATGGCAGGTGTGTGCCACTGACTTTTAAAAAAAATTTTAGGGAAGCAAACATCTTTGTTTGGTTCCTGTTAATTGCCTCTCTTATATGGTTCCAAGCTTTCTCATGACACATGCACACAATTGTACTGTTTATCTAACAAGCCTCCATGCCACACTCTAGCTTCTTATATTGATCTTATCATCTGCCCTCTTATTGTTTTACAGAAAAAAATATTTACTGTGTGATGCTATCCTTAAAAAATCTGCAGTTTCTTTTTATTGTCCTCTCAAAAAATAATAATTTCTATTTAGTTCATACTGTTCCTACTCCAGATCCATGACTACTACCTTGAAACACTTCTCTTACTACCATGAAACAGCTGCCTCCTCCCACTTGTATATGCTGTGATTATAAAGGATATTGTTCCTATTGCTACCAACAAAGCTTTACCTTTGTTCATGTGAATTCTTCCATGTAATCTATGACCAGTCATTTGAGGAGAATAGAAAAGACTGGCTTTTGAGTGTGTGTGTATGTGTGTGTGTGTGTGTGTGTGTGTGTATATGTGTGTGTGTTTGTTTATATTGTTTGAACAATTTATCTGTGTCCTTACAGTCCCTCAGCTGGTGCAAAAGTTTGATTCATCATCCAATATGCTCACCCCCACATTTGTCACCTCATTCCCAAATATGTACTTTTTAATACTTCTCCCTCCCAGCCTCCCAAGGTGAAATAATAGACATTTCTTCTAGGTTCTGGATAGAACAAGAAATGCCATAGCAAAATAGAGGACATAAGAGAGATAAGAGGAGTTGGGGAGAAAGGAGAAATAAATTTGAAGTATTGGCCAATTGGATATTTCTAGGAGGATGGAGCCAGGTGTCTGGGTTTGCATGACTTAGATTTGGGGAGCCTCTCAACTTGGAGTAATTCATAGATTGAATGACTCCATTGTGAATGCCGACTTCAGAATCCACTTCCTGGCCCTGGCCTGCTGGCCCTGGCGTGCTTTTCCTCAGCCAGGTGCTCTGGCGGTCACCTTGCCTTTCATTGTGCAACGGGCATGAAAATACAATGTTTGCTGTAGGGAAAGATAACAGCAGTGAAAATGCCCTCTGCCCCCTGTTTGAAGTCTAAGACCTTGGGAATGGAAGCAGGCTGACTCCTTCTGCAAACTTGTTCTCAAAGTCTGCTATTTCTAGTAGCCAAAAGAAAGGGCAGTAAACTATTTATTACTTTTACAGAGGATACTTCTTTCATTTCCTTTGTTTCTTGTCTCCAACTGGAAAACTTACTTTTTTTTCCCAGGATGGAACAGTTAGGAAGGTACTCAATCTTCAGATTCAGACAAGGACCTGCTAGTAGCAAAGAGTGTTTTCTTGTCCTACCCTCTCTCTGGACGGTCTTTTATTTTTTTTTATTTTTTTTTTTCTGTGTTACTGGGAATTGAACCTAGAGGCACTCTGCCCTGAGCTACATCCATAGTCCTTTTTCATTTCCTTTTTTGGTACTGGGGAATTTAACTCAGGGGCCCTTGACCACTGAGCCATATCCCCAGCCCTAGTTTTTGTATTTTATTTAGAGACAGGATCTCACTGATTTGCTTAGTGCCTCGATTTTTGCTGAGGCTGGCTTTGAACTCTTGATCCTCCTGCCTCAGCCTCCCAAGTTGTTTTTTTTTTTTAAATATTTTTAGTTGCAAATGGACAGATAACTTTATTTATGTATTTATGTATTTATTTATTTATTTATGTGGTGCTGAGGATGGAACCTAGTGCTTCACAAGTGCAAGGCAAGCACTCTACCACTTAGCCACAACCGCAGCCCTATAAATAAAGTTTTGAAACTCGTTTATTTTAGAAATATAGCTTCAATGAATGCGTGATCAGGTTGTCCTTCTTTCATATTCCATGGAAACTGTACTGTTGAGAGAGTAGATTGATCTTTACGACCTTAGTAAGGCTCTGGCCATGAGTCACAAGTCAGCCTGCAGGAAACTTGGGGATTGTCCACATCATTCCTGTTTTAGATGAGAAAACAAGGTCCAGAGAGGCAGGATGGACATATTTTACATCACACAATTATGCCAAGTTGTG